CTCCCTCCATCCTTCATTTCCCTATCCTGTGTTTCCTCTTCCTGTGCTCGCTCCGACCCGGTGGAATGAGGGTCTTATGAAGATAAATGATGCCTCTCAGCTGTCTACACCCATCTGCTTCCCTTCGCAGCTCTGGTGGGGAATTCCCCTGGAATTCTGCCATTCCTCCGAGTGTCGTGCCTGACAGGATCACAGCATTCTTTTTTTGTCCACGAGGAACGGTGCAAAAAGACCAACACATGGCTGGGTGGAGTAGCACAAGACATTAGGCAGCCATGATAGCAATTCAGAAGCTTGAGGCTCATCAGATTTCAATTACAGGGGAAATGAAGTGAATATCTGAAGACGCTGGATGATAATTAAGGTTATTCAATATTTTTTGGCACTAAACCTTTGATACGTCTTCAGTTTAAATCAGATACATGTTACTCTTTTGATATAGGGCACTTAAATCATATTATAATAACATTTTATAATACCTTATCAGCCATAAAATGTCTTATAGTATGCCATGAGTAATGTCTGGTAGTATTCTATCATTTCTTTTGTAAAAGATGAAATACGTTATTAGGTTTATTCATATTCAAGTGAAATATATTCCGTGTTAAAAAGGCTGACTGTATTATGTATACGTTTATTTTTTAAGACATTAACAAACTAAACTATCTATAAGAAATTGCAATATTGGCTATTTAAATCCAGCTTCATGATGAATCTGGTACTTGAAGGAAGAAATAAGAAAAATAAATCCATGTCGTTACTTCAGTTCCCCTTCCTACATATTGAGCAGAAGCACATGAATAAATCAAAGAAGGAGCAAACTCCTCACAAGTCTGCAGTCATGAGCACTTGTGTGCACGGAAGGGTACGTAGGCGAATCTATGAGACTGAGAGGTAATGTTTAATTTAAAATGAAGACAGAAAACAGCCTCAGAGGAAAACAGTCTATTCCACACACCTTGAGCTACTTACAGAGGCATCAACCCTGAAGCCCAAAACATGTATCAAGGACATGGTGCAGCCTTCATTTCGCTCATCAAAAAGTTATAATACATTCAGGGTCTTCACTTTTTAGATTGAGGCAATATCTCATGGACAGTTCCTGCTACAGTCAAAATGTGTCAAACAGCGAACGACCAGCAGTCAGTACAGGGACGGTGTGATCAGTGAACATTAGATTGGGGAGCTGGCGTCGGCTGGGGAACCAGCAGGAGACGAGGTGCTGGAGTCGGGACCATGACTGCTGGAGCCGGTACTTGAGCCGGAACCATGGCTGTATGGGCCAGCTCTGGTGCAGAGACCACGGTTGTAAGATCCAGTTCTGGAGCCGGAAACATGGCTGTAAGGTCCGGAGCTGAAGCCTGGATCATGGCTGTGTGGGCCGGTTTTGGAACCGGAAACATGGCTGCTGGGGCCGGCACTGGAGCCGGAACCATGGCTGCTGGGCAAGGAACCGAAACACGGATCCATGGCTGTGTGGGGTGGTACTGGAGCACGGTACCATGGCTATGTGGGATGGTACTGGAGCACGGAACCATGGCTGCTGGGTCCGGCACTGGAGCCGGAACCATGGCTGTTGGGGCCTGTACTGGAGCCGGAACCATGGCTGCTGGGGCTCGGGCTGCTAGCCTGGCCTTGCGACGACTCCTCTTAGCAGCCTTCTGAATACTCCGTGGACCTCCATAAGCCTGACGAGTTCCGGAATACGACTCCTGGACAGGAGCAGGAACTGGGGCAGAAGCACGGGTTGACTTCAGGCGGAACCCACCAAGGCGTATGGTGCCAGGTTGGGAATTGGGAGACAGGGAGCTAGCATGCCTGGAATCACATGCTTGAAGGAAGTCCAAAATCCAGTCAGGTAAAAACTCAACAAAACATGGTTTCTCTGCTGCCAACCGGAGCGCCTCTACTAGAGCGGCCCTCTTCTGCCGAACACTGGACGCTCCCTTCCACCAATCGAAGCAGCAAGCCAGATAGAAAGTTAAATGCTGTAATACAACATCAGGAAGATACGTCCCCAGCTGACACAGAAAGCGACGCAGGTTCTGGTCCAGGCTCTCGTCATCTCACGCCAAGACTACTGCAACACCCTCCTGGCTGGTCTACCTGCATGTGCCATCCGACCTCTGCAGCTCACCCAGAATGCAGCGGCTCGTCTGGTCTTCAACCTTCCTAAATTTTCCCACACCACTCCGCTCCTCCGCTCCCTTCACTGGCTTCCGGTAACTGCTAGAATCCACTTCAAGACACTGGTACTTGCTTACCATGCTGCGAATGGATCTGGCCCTTCCTACATCCAGGACATGGTTAAACCGTACACCCCAGCGCGTTCACTACGCTCTGCATCAGCCAAACGACTCGCTGCACCCTCGCTGCGAGGGGGACCCAAGTTCCCATCAGCAAAAACACGTGGGTTTGCTATCCTGGCTCCAAGATGGTGGAATGAGCTCCCCATTGACATCAGGTCAGCAGATAGCTTGCACATCTTCCGGCGCAAACTGAAAACTCATCTCTTTCGACTCCACTTCGAGCGATAGATTTATTAACAAAGCACTTATATACTAATAAAGGACTGGCTTATCTAAAGCCAGTTGAGTAGCACTTGAAATGTTTTGGCTCTATGAAACCTGATGTACTTATATGATTCTGTTTTCTTCAAGGTTGTGTCTTCCTGGTCGAATGTACTTATTGTAAGTCGCTTTGGATAAAAGCGTCAGCTAAATGCAATGTAATGTAATGTAATGTAATTCAACCTCCCATGGATCATCTGCTGGGTCCATTTTGTGGTCGGTTCGTTCTGTCACGGTAGAGCGAAGGAAGCAGGACCCAAATGCAGATTAAACTGATATACCTTTATTTCAAGGATAACGAAAATAGAACTTGGACAGACAGAACACTCACCGGTGAACACAGTCAACAACGAAAGACGAACCGACAAAGACAGACAGAAAAACCAGAACTTAAATACACACAAGACTAATCACACAAACAAGACACAGGTGAGGAGGGAGGAGAAAACACAGGGGCCACAGGTGAACACAATCGGGTAATCAGACACACCAGGGAAACTAACGACAGGGAACCACAGACAGATCCAAACAAGACAAAACACCACAAAGACAGATCGTGACACACTGTGTATTTTCTGAAGTAATAAAACACACCTAAAACTCAATTATTGTAATAGTGCATAGTTCAAAGCTGTAAGTTCCATTTTTAAACCTCAACATTTTGAAAATATTTAATGTTTTGAGTCTAAGTGGGCTCTTCAACAGGTTTCTATTTTGCCTGCTTTCTTGATTCAATCTGAGGGCTATTTCAATTTATTTTGTTAATCAGATTTTTAAGACAGACTGTCCCCACTGTTATTTGAAAGTGATCAGATAACATTTGTCCCCACATCACTGATCTCTCTTCTTAGTTGTTGTGATAAGGACCTATGCTTCAGTAACTGTGTAGATACTTTGGCGAAGGGCAAAAGCTTCTAGACAGAGATGCCTCTGTAGAAATCTCATTAGAATCACATTTAAACCACCTTAAAAATGTCTTTGCAAAATCCCATTTCCTTTGCTGTCCAGATTTTTCTAAATCAGAACGGATCCAAATTGAATATGCCAGAAGGCTCAGGGGATGCTTAAGGCTTGGTCAAACAATGGGATTCAAAAGTGAAATTTCAATGAAGTGTTAATGAATTGATTGATTAATTAATGAGTATGCTGGACGTTGGTAAGATGTTAGTGAGATTTTATTTCCTCTTTAATGACTTATATGACTTTGTATTGATCAAAACAATATGCAATGATAAACAAAACGCCAGGAAGACTTATCAAGCAGTAGAGAGAAAATAAAGAGAAGCTATGGTGGCTTGTGGAAAACTAGCGTGTTAGCTCGCCTGCTACAATTACTCACTTTTGGCCTATTGAGTATTTACTAATCCACCACATTTCTGACCCCACATTTAGCTTTTTTTTCTGATTACCATTTAATACTATTCATTAATTGACACACTCTTGAGTCAGTTTGATATCTCTTTACCCGACGAAGAACCTTGCTCTAAATGTGAGAAAGTAAGACATATGAAGTATTCTACAGTCTTGCCTTGGAAAACAGAAAGAAATACACAAACATGTTCAATGGCAGGTTCAAAAGTGAATACCTGCAGATAAGAGAGGGACAGAATGGAGTGCTCGAATGATATTCTTGCTATACCGTGGCAAATGGGTAATTCTTCCATCATGTGAGGAAACATTTAAAAAGAAATGTAAGAGGTTTTGTTTTCATAGCCCTTTTCATTTTAGAAAGGTATTTTAATACAACACTGTGATGAATTGACCAATCCATGAACATTTCATGTGTATTTATGTGTCATGGGGTGAAATAACTATGCAGCATATTTAGAACATTTGTGACTTTATGAAAAGGTACTTTTAAGAAACGTCAACTATACAGTTTTCATGCATACGTGCTTGCCAGACAAGATGATAATGAACCGTAAACCTAAATAAACCATTTGTTTACCCAAGGCAATAATGTCAAGTTGCCATACAGAAAAAGTGGCAAAGAAGACTGCCACGTAGAGCTGGAGTCTATATACTGTTGAGGATTGATGAGCCGAGGTGTGTAGGTTGATTAGCTGCAGGAGTGGAACAGAGGGCGATGCCCAGAGAGAGGGAGAACAAACAGAGGTCACAGGGTAAAACATCTGAAATATAAGGAATAATAGACAGGCTAAACTTATTTCAGACAAGGACTTTGCCATGATTTACTTTGTATTTGTAGTAGAAGTATGGTATTTACTTGATTGTTAATTTTGTGTTTGGCTTAATTATGGTTGAATGGACGATCATTTTAGTCTTTTTACTTCTGTACTTTTTTATTTGGGTTAGGGTTAGGTTGATGAGGTTGTTTGTTTATGTGGTCCCCATGAAGAATAGCAAATGCAACAAGGTAACAAGGCAACAAGACAACACATGATCATTTATGTTTAATATTGGCTTTACAGGACACACACACACACAGTCAGGAATACACTTTCTGCTCTCGTTCATTTACACTATCTGTCTCTTTATAGTTTTTACTCAACCAGATGACTGGGCTTTTCCTCTCTCAGTTACACCACTCAGATCTGGCCACACTATCCCTGAGCCACTCATATCATTGCTGGTAAACTCTAAAACAGTTTTTACCTGGCACTTTCTTGATTTCCTCTTACATCTTAAATCTATTATTTTAGGTTTACATTTACATAACATTTTACTGAAAAAGCACTCCGGTGTAGTAACGATAATATTTGATATGAATATGCACAAGACGGCACAATGCAGTAAGTGATTTGTTGTTGCACATTGCAGGTACAAGTCAGAATATACTAGATATAATAATGTTAATCTATCAGATGCAGATGAAGTTGAGTTTTTCCTTGCAGTCCCAGTTCTCCCACAGTCCCTCTTTGGTTAAAGCTCCACAGCGTTTATATATTGGACACTGGTGGTCCTGGTCTCCTTGGGGCCAGGCCTCGTACTGCAGAGGGTCTCCATTCACCCACAGCCAGCGGTCCCCCAGGTAGCGCAGGCCGATCCACACCCGCTCACTTTGAACTTTCAGGGCCTCTTTCCAAGCCAGAAGGTGCTCGGTCTCATCGAGCAGGCTGGTAAGGTCAGACTGATTTTCTCTGCAGTGCTCCAGAGCTTTTTCCCACGTCTTCTTCACCTCCACTACGGTAATATTGATGCAGTAAAAATCTTTCTGTTTTGTTTCTGCATCATCATTCCATTCTCCGTTTTCATTAATTACATTTACAGAGGTCTCGATGTTATGACAATTATCTGGTTGCCCCTGGCACCAGTTTTGGTATGTCATGTGTCCTCCTCCGGACCACTTCCAGCCAGTAAGGTTGTTAAGATCTCGATGTAGACCAATCCATCCTTGGGGATTGCTTTCACCTGCAGCCTTTCGAAGCCTGTCGACACCACTCTGGCTTCTAACATAGGAAAGATCAGTGTACTGGTTTCTACAGTAAATCTGAGCATCGCTCCATATCATCTTCTCGGGGACAAAAATGTGTTTTCCTGTATCCCCCTCAACAGCTGTAGAAAGAACAAGTAAGAGGATGGTTCTCTCCATTTCTTCTCTGTAGATCGAAATGCAAGTGTCTTCTCCACTGTGTCTTCTCTACAATGGTATCCCTTAAGTGTCAAGTTGGTTTGAGGACACAACTTTGCATGTGCTTTGATTTGTTTACCAAAGCAAAGTATCTCCGTGGTGGACCCAGCACCTGGCAGGAAAAACAAATAACTTACACCAACAATAACATAACTAACACATCTAACCTTTAAGTGATTTATTCCTATTAATCCAAAACTCATTCTTTTTTAGCTCAGTTTTGGTCTATGCCATTGAATAAAAGGTCTGACTCGGTGTTCTTTGCTCATGCTTAGCTTCGGGAGCTTGTTGGCGTATGTCTATGTCTAATGTAGTGGAACATTTATCGTGAGATCGGGGTATGAACTACAAATGAAACACTATTAAGGCCAACAGGTACAATTCACATAGAGCTTATTCTTCCAAATTGTGTAAAAAGTATTACGTTTCAGTGACTAATCCTTTAATGGTTATATAGCAACCAGTATATACAGAAACATATTCTATGTTTCTATTATCTGTCGCCGGTTTAAGAACAGCAAACCCTAAAAGTTGCAGTGTTAATGGAATAAATGGTCGTATACAGTATGTCGTTTACGTTTGAGTAGTTGTTTTACTACTAATTCACATTATTTTTTGCCTCACTTGACCTCAGGATATGGTTTATTTGTTGATTCATTTAAATAATTCACATTCAGGATGAACTGGTTAAAATGTTTGTCATAAAGTTCATTGTTATTCACAACATAATTACTACACTGCCCTGAAAAACCTACACACTCAACTTCCTTAAACTGCCATTAATGTCTCTAAGTTTCACCCATTAGTTTTAAGTGTCCCCGGACACCGGTGTCATAAATATGCTTTGCAGTATGAAGAAACCACTCTTAAGGCTTAACAGTCTCGGGCTATTAATATGACAAGTAAATCACATGGGTACTATAAGCACTTGAGAGGCCAATACTCTGTTCCAGATTTACAAGCAAACCAGGGCTTTTGACGAGAAATTGATGTGTTCCTGCCTACTGGAAAATAATTATGAATAATAGCTTATTTTGGGCCATCTCAGCAGGAAAAAAGGACATGACATTTTGCATTGTGAATAGTATCAACATTAGATGATTCATTTTAATCTGACGGGTATGAGAAGCTTATTTTAATGAACAAAATGCAAAATAGCAGTGGTGTGTTGAGACACATTGCATCAGTATGACAGTTTGTCTGCTGTTAATCACCACTTACATTGTAATATAAATATATGTTTGTATTAAACTTATTATTTACCTACATGGCTTCACATATGTGAAACATGTAAAGTGGTAAGATAACAGTTTCAGAGTTATCAAACCAATTACAGGAAGCCATAATCCCATGTGCCATTGATTGATAAAAAAACATCCACAGAGGTCAACTGAGATGAAAGCGTGTTGTTTACATGAGGCGCTCTGAGTTCATGGATCTGAAGGTTGACTCGTGAGTCTTCCTCTGCTCTGCTCTCATTACTGAGAGCCTTAACAATGATGTAATCATGCTAATTGGGTTTAAAAGATGAAATAGTAATTGCATTGAGCATATTGTATTCCTACTAGACTAATGGTCTTCTGCTAAAACAGGAATTGTGTTTGGCTCGAAGTAAAAAGGTCAGTAAGTAAAATGAACTGCAAGCTAAATAATTATTCTTTACCTCCTGTACTGTTTTTCTCTCGGTGTCCTCCCAAGTGCACAGAAAAGATAATAACCGTGAGGCAGGTGAGTGTGTGTGTTCATTATGGTTATTTATGGGTATGTGTGTGTGTGTGTGTGTGTGTGTGTGTGTGTGTGTGTGTGTGTGTGTGTGTGTGTGTTGAAAGCGTGAGGGGGTCTGACTGCTCTCGAGACCCTAGGACAACTGCATTATTCAGAATAAAGATAAGAAGCTCCACACTCTGGACCTTTCTAATACTGCTTAACCTTACCATGGTTATACAGTAAACTCACACACACACACACACACACACACACACACACACACACACACACACACACACACACACACACACACACACACACACACCACACACACACACACACACACACACACCACACACACACACACCACACACACACACACACACACACACACACACACCACACACACACACACACACACACACACACACACACACACACACACCACACACACACACACAGCCTCTATAAAGGCCATCTGATAGCCTACTGAATAACCTTCAAAGGCAAAACAGTGCATGGAGGACAACAATTCCCACAGGGGATTCAGACTGTAGATGCTTTCCTCTACTGCTAATCCTGCAGCCAGTAAATATTTTACAGAAGACACAGGAAAGCTCATTTTAGAAAAATAGCCAAAGTCACTGATGATATAATAGTTTGAACAAACAGAGGTAAATAAAAAAAAAAACAGCAAACTAGTGCCTTGTGCTGAGCTACTCTACTTTTAGTTGTTCATCACATTTGGAGAGTGCAGTGATTTTATTTAATATATTGACTATAATGCAGTATTTCTTCTTTACCTTTTCACATAAATCAATCAATCAATCAATGTTTATTTATATAGCCCAATATCACAAATGTTACATTTGTCTCAGCGGACTTCACAGTTTGTACAGAGTATCTGTATAACTGTATTATTACAGCTCTTTTCAATATTATTCTTAGGGTAAATGTGATATTGTGACATCATTTATAACATTGATACTGTTTTTAAAGCCACTGGGAGAATAAGGGGCCGACATTAACTAAGTTAATGGGAACTATATATGTACAGCATCTGTGCTATTCAAAAAATAAGAGTAGGTGGGTGACATTTAGCTGAACTTTACTTTCCCCTTATGCCATGATTTATTTATTACCTGCAACAAATACATTTCACATTATCTTTCTGTTTCAAGGAATCACCATAGAACCAAAAAACAAATAACAGGGTCAAATATGGCATACTGGGTAAACCTTCAGGGGCATAGTGATAGTCATCCTGCGAAAAGTATCTTGAAAGATTGCTGGGAGCACAATGAGTCACATTTAACAAGTGTTGGATGAATTGGCGATGTTAAAGCAGCAAGTATAGGTTTGAATCAAATACAGTATTGCCCCACAGTTCCAATCTCGTCCATTCCACCCTGGTTGTTCCCATTGCCAAGTGTAGACCTCAATATACGAGAGGAGTTAAAGGAAAATAAAGAACTACCAGTATGGCGCATAGTCCAGAATTATTTTGCAAGATATCACTCAGACTCAACAATCATATTTACAGATGGTTCCAAAGATCCAGAGACAGGGCGTGCAGGAGCAGCAGTTTATATCCCAGTGAGTAATACACATATAAAGAAAAGGGTAACAGACCATGTGTCAGTATACACCACAGAGTTGTTGGCATTGGTGTTGGCATTGAAATGGATAGAGGAGAAAGAAATATATAATAGTATAATTGCATCTGACAGCTTTTCAGCATTATCAAGTATACGATCAGGCAGATCTTCATTTAGAATGGACATAATAAATAAAATATTTCTAATTGTATATAAAATGCAAAACAAAGGCATAGCAACTCGTTTCATCTGGGTTCCTGCTCATGTTGGTGTGGAGGGTAATGAACAGGTGGATATTCTGGCCAAACAAACACTCAGAATTATGAACAGACATAGAAGTTCCACTCAGCAAAGCGGAGGTTAAAACATTCATACAGAAATATGCACAAACAACATGGCAAGAACATTGGGATCTTAGTGATACAGGAAGACATCTTTATAAAATTCAAAGGTATGTGGGGGATGGAAGGAAGGTAGGGTTTAAAAGAAGGGAGGAAAATGTCATTTCTCGGATGAGAATAGGTCATACAGGTCTCAATCATACATTAAGTATAATAGGAAAGCATCCAACCGGAAAGTGTATACACTGTAGCCAGCCAGAAACTGTTGAGCATGTTTTACTGCTTTGCAGGAAATATAGTACTCAGAGAAATGTGCTTTTCCAGACACTCAAGAAAGTAACATTCCATGACTTGTCGCTATCAGGGCTGTTAGGGAAAAAATCAGGCAATATATATTGTGAGATTATTACGTTTCTAAGAGAAATTGATCAATTTTAAATAATCTAGAGTTTTGGTTCTTTGTTTTGTTTATTTTGTTTATTGTTTTCTGCATAGTCTCTTGTCCACACTCCAGTCCAGTTGGTGGCGGTAATGTATCTAAAAGTTGGTTTGCCAACCGCCAATAAACACTAAAGAAGAAGAAACTTTACATGGAAGCTGCATACACGTTCTCCTGACGAGACCTCAAATCATCTTCGTAATATCTATCAAACTATAGATCCTACACATCGACTGGACGTGGATTCTAATGGCCTCGCTGCAGGCCTCGCTCGGCCTCGCTCGGCCTCGCTCGGTTTGGCCTTATTAGGCCCGGCTCACTTTAATGCTGCGCTTCCATTAAAGTTTAGGAACTGGGGTAGTTACTATAGTAACGCAGTGTAGGCGGAGCCGTGACGTCATCTTCAATGGGAGCCCCAGAAAAACAACACAGCCGTTAGCTCTTGGCACTCACAGCTCTTCATATCTGTTCAGAAACTAGACAAAAGTTAAACAAGTACAAACCACAGACTGCCTGTGTCATGGCGATTGGCGAATACAGTCGCTGGTTTATTTATGTCTGTATAGGCCGTTGTTGTGAGTGTGGACGGTCGGAGCATATATAACGTTAGCTTAGCCAAGCTCCATTTAGAAAACACGCATTTTAAAAAGGTTTTTCGCCTGCCGTCTGTCTGCAGACTTGTCAAAGCATTAATTCATGGTTTTTACTAATCGGTATCAGTATGTTGTTACTTCGGCATCATTTTGAAACGTGTATTACAATTAAATCACGGTCAAATATGTTCATCTTGTTGTAGTAAGCGTCTTTGGGTTCAAGAAAAGCGCTATAGAAATACAATATATTATTATAGTTGTAGCCCCCTTGCCAGCGATTCTCTCTCTAGTTTAGCATACTCAGCCCGACTCGGTCTGGTTTTTCCTGGCCCTAGAACCACGATTTTATGGGGCCAGAAAAACTGTGAATTAGGACCCGCTAGCCGGTACTAGGCCAAGTGGAAACGCAACCAAAAACGGGCCCCGCACGGCTC